AAAAATAATATTTAAAATACAATTCATTTAATATATATATATAATTTAATAATTATTCAATTTCTAAAATAACTTTTTCTTACTGATTTAAAATTGTAATACAAATACGAAATATTTTTTCTGCAAATACTGGCTTTTTATATTTTTTAATTTTTAATTTAGTCTTTTTAAAAAACAATAATGGTTATTTAACAATTTTAAATTTTTATACACATTTTAACTAAATGAAAATAAATTATTTTTCTAATTTTTGATCTCGAATTTCGTTATTGCCCTTAATATTTTCTTTCCTTCTTTTTTTCTTCTAATTTTTCAAAGTAATTCATTTTCTTTGTTTCGCGATCTAAATTAATATGAACTTCACACACGTGCTTCGTTATAACAGATTTCTAACATCGTGCACTGTTTTCACAAACAAGTAACAGTCACTAAAATTTATACCTGTTGTTGAATCCGAAATGCAAGCAAACGTTGTAAAGCACGATGCAAGGCCAAACTTTGCGAAACAGAAACAACGAAATTTGCTTTTGAAGCAGGTGCACGTGTCAAGTTTTTCATAAAAATTATTCTAGAAAATGGTAGAAACGTGAAGACATTATTTTGAAAAACAACAAAATATTTAAAAAGTGGTCAAAAGTGGTATATTTCATGTATAAGTCATTAAAAAAATTTTTTTTACAAAAAAGTTATTGTCTCCCTTATTTATAAATAAACAATATCATTAAATTTGTATCAAAGTTCTTAAAATTGTCAAAACTATAACGTCAATTTCAAAAAAAAAAAACAATAAAATTCTCACTATTTCTTCTATTAAACTATAAAATAAAAATACTAATTATTATATGTACGATTATTGTAATCTTTTTCTTTATTTTTACATAATAATGAGATGTAACATTATTAAATTGAAAATATTTATCTTTTTAAATAAAATTATATTTAATTTATCTCTATTCAAATATTGAAAGAAATTTTTAATTAGAAACACTCGATTTGACGTAATTTTTTGATACTAAAAAAAAAAAAAAAGGAAACATTAAATCAATAAAAATAAAAATATGCAAATTTCATATTTTATAATAAAATATATACAAATACTTTTTTAATAAAAAAATAATAAATTTTAATAAAAATGAAAATGATTTTAGGCTATAAAAATGTAATCATTGATCTAATTTTTTAAATATTTTTATTCATCTTAAATTTTAAGATTTACTGAAACAAATTTTAGGCTTAGTTCTCTTATTGGTTCTCTTATGTCCAATATTTAATTGATTTTTCAAGAATTTTCATTGATATATCATTGCCTCCTAGTAATAAATTCATAATTTGTTAACATATAATTTTTTTATTGATATTTAATATGTAAATATTAAATCTAATTTTATAATTTCTATATGAGAATAAATAAATAAAAGTACGAGAAGTAAAAACATAATATTCCATATAATCATAAAATATATAGAATATTTAATACAATTTACATTATTTAAAATATCGTATTTGAAAATTGAATATAGTAATTACGATATTATAATTTATTCTTCCTATTCTTTTTAACATACACGAAGTATATTGACTGACAAATTTATTTTCTCATTTTGATTAATATTATCAATTTTTTTAACATACGAAAATTTCTATTGATAAAATAACACGTTTGAAGAAATAGAGATGAAAATTTAAAAAAAGCTATCTTAATTGGTACTATCCTATCTTTATCATTTACACGCATAAAATCACTAAACAAAGAATTTTAAACAACGGAAATCATGGTGTCGAGATGTCCTGTAATTGAAAGATGTTCTTATATTATCGAGGAGAAGGTTAAGGGTTATTTTCCCTCGTCCTTATATTCAATTCGATCCAAGACCACGCGGTGATCCCGAGTGTAGTCATGGCAACTTTTGATTATGTCTCCGCTTCTTTGGAACGTAGACTCCTGGCGAGCGTTCTCGCGACCCCCCTTCGCGGCTGTATTTACGTGGAAATATGCGGAAAGGTGTCTCTCTCACCTTCCTCGTCCTCGTCGAACGAGGAAGACGATGTCGAACCAGTCGAGGAGAATGGGTCCCTTCGCGAACGACTGAACATCGTGTGACAATCGACAGTGAAATTGGCGTGTATGAACTGTCTGTTTCGAGCTATTGTTGGTTTGCAAAAGAAGGTATTTTCGAAGGGAGGTTTTTCTTTGTGGAAAATTAAGTGAACTCGTCTGAAACGGAATTTCATCGAGGGAAAAGTGTCGTCCTCGTTTAGCTCTGATGTGGAAGCACTGTTTGCAGGCATGATATGATTGGTAGAATGTTTGACGAATTAACAAAGAGTTTTATTACGTGAATATATTAAATTATTCGTTGTAATTCGAAGTTTCGTCTCGAGAATCGTGTACAAGTATCTGATATACAGATTCATATATATCATAGTATCTGAAATTTCGAAATCAGAAGAGATACATCTGGTATTTTGAATATTTGGATATTCAAATAACGAGATTTTTGCAAAACAAGAGTACTTGAATCTGGAATAAATAATTATTTGCAATAACAGTTGGAATGCTAATAAAAATTATATTAATTTTTTAAATATAGAAAAAAATATATAAATAGGATTGTTCATACAAGTGGTTAGGGATAAATCATTGATTTGTTGTAACAATAATATAATATAAAATGTTTCATAAAAATATATAACTAAAAAACTATAGATTAATCATTTTTGCAACAAATAAACAAAATGGATGTGATATGATACATCTTAAGTTTATAATGTAATGTTTGAAAAATATTCAGTATTCTAAATTTTTTGAGGATACATTTCTATATGTTTCTTATATTTATCTTAAAAATTCATTATTACATATACAATTTGTAATATTAAATGTTTATATTGCACAGGAAGAAGATAATTTGAATATTTTGGAAGATAATTAAAAATATTTTTAATTATATACTTCCTTTGTTAGATATAATGTTTTATTTATGACTTTAAAACTGAAAGTATTATAATTTCTTTTGCTAAAAAAATAAAGATAATTGTAGATTTTTATAAATACGCTTTTTAATTTTATTACAAAATTAAAGAATATATGGGATTATAAATATTTTAATTTCATTTTATATATGAATCTTAAAAAAGTGCTAAATAAAATATTTAAATTATTTTTCAAAATTTGTTTCATTGTTCGAAGCATTATAATAATAATCTTTGAGATGAGAATTGAGAAAACTTAGAAAGCATTTAAGATATAAATAATAATATTAATAATATCGAACATAAATGAAACTTGAATAGTTTTAATAATTAAATTAATAATTTTAGCACCTCTAAATATGAAATATTAATTTTTGATATATAGTTTGAAGTATTAATAAAAAAAAATTTATGCGACAATCTAGAAATTTTTTGTTGAAATTATACTTGTATAGTATTATATATATTATATAATAAATGGAAAAATTATTTTCACATAATATATATTTATATCTTTAGCAGATAATTGTGAATGAAATCTTTTTGAAACAATTTTTCATTCATAAATAAAACTTTATATTGTTATGAAGAAATAAGAAACAAAATTTCGTACAATAATTTATGAAACTGTTAAATTTATTATAATAAAGTGGAAGTGTGAATGAAGTTTCTCAAATATTCTTATTACAACAAAGTTAGCAATACAATTCAAATGAAATTCCTTTCTATATCTTCTGTATGAAATACATAGAATATCTCTTTTCCCATTGTAAATGTCTGAATAATTACTGATAGTTACTACTGATATCAACGTAGATTGGAATTATTAAATAACTCAAAGCTAAATAAACATATAATTTTAGTATAATTTACAAGTCTCTTACTATTCTGGCTATTGAATTGTTGGGAAAGTTATGTTAACATTAATTTTGATAAAATACATGACAAATAATTTCAAATACATGGAAAACTATGATAAATTCATTTTACAAATATTCTACTATGTATGAATTTAGAAATGTATCAAATAGTATATGTAATCAAATAGTTAGATGTAACTTTTTTTTTTACTCATTATTATATAAATTTAAAATAAATACAAATATATGGATATATATGTATATATGAATTTAAATATTGCAAGTATTCTTACATATCATTGAATGTTGATTTACTAAAACTCACGATTTTAATTCTTAATGATTTTTGAATTCTGATAAATCTCTGTTTAATAAATTATTATCATTTAAAGATGAGCGACAAAAATTATAAATATACATAAATAAAAAAATTTACTAAATAACATAATAATTTTGCGATTTTAGTTAGAGAAAATCTAAATGATTTCAAAATTGAATATATTATAATAAAATGATTTATTTTTATATTTACAAAGTATTATTAATATTACTATCCTATAAGTTCAATACGATAGTATAATATTCTATAATTTCAATAGCCACAATTTAATATCCATCATTTTTCTATCACTGATTTCGTCAATAAAAATTAAGAAATTACAGTAAAGTTATCTCTCTTCGATTTCAATGATTTTGAAATATATTACAAAAATCATTTTGAACAACTTTTTGAACAACTTTGTATTAGACAGATTTAACAAGTAAGTAAATATAGTAAGCATTAACTTATATATATTTCAGATGCCAACTGCTGTAATATGCTTATACAACAATGTGTGTATAAACAATTGATAAATAATAATCACACACACAGTACGTATATACATAAATATTTACGTATATAAATGAAATTATACATAACAATATTATATACGTAGCAATATTTTTTTCTAAATATCTCGAAAATTAAAGCAAAATTCACGTATAAGAAAAAATTGAGAATATCGAATGGATTTTTACGACATAGTATTTCAAAATCATCGAAATCGAATAGAACTTTTCTGCAAGTTTGGCGAAAAAAAAAAAAAATAAAATCACATGTAGGAATTACAAATAAAGTGAAGTAAATCAAAAACAAAGCCGTGTGTATCGCTCGTTTGTTTTCAGTTAATAAACACCGTAGCAGACGAGCAATCATCCGCCGGCAAATCCACCCCAAAGGAGAATCATCAAAAAATTACGTTGCACGTGATGGTGTTGGTTTGGTCCCCTACGCCGCTCGAAACGAGACGAACTCAAAAGCCAAGGGGATATATCGATCGGAATAGGTTAAAATCACTTTCGATGCCTCGCCCGTACACACTGTACGAAGTTCCACTCTCGATTCGAAAATCGATAGCGCGAAAGCCGCTTGATTTAGGCCGATATCAGCGAAGGGATAATGTATGGTAAAGCCAACGAGTACGAGCACGCATAAACGATAAGCGGTCTGCCCGTCCGTCCCTTGTATGCGCGCTCTCGTGTACGAACCGCGAACGCGAGGGAGACGCGATTTACATACCAATTAAAGCGCGCCTCCCTCCTTCTGCTCTTTCAACCAACCCCCACCCGACATCATTTTCCTCGACCGTCACTGTACCCGTAATAAAATACACGGATACAGGACACGGTCATATAATAAGCAATTTGCATAAGCCCCTTTCGATTCTGACGCGACCACTTCGTAAAATCGACGAGACTTTTTAAACGGTTTTTATCCCGCTACGATCCTGCGACGAGCGGGAAATTTTTATATGTAATAATAACGCGTGAGATAAAAATTACGATTTTTCTCTTCTCGGTTCTTTTCACTCGAAGAAGTACGATTTCTTATTTCTTTTTTTCTAAATGGATCTTATGGTATGTAAGTAAGCGCAAATTTTAATATAATGATATGCGGAAATGTCGTATTTATCAAGATTATCGATATTATAAGGAAAGATATATATATATATGTATGTATGTATGTATGTATATTTTATAGCTAAGATTAAAATCTTGGTCTGATCTTGAGTAAGAGAAATTAAGTCGAGAAGTCATATTTTTTCGAAACGAATAATTTAATGCAAAGGAAATATAAAAATATTTATATTTGATATCATTTCTGTTATATTTATTTCGTTCTTTTTCCTTCATTTTTCAAATACTTTTGAATTTTACTTAAAATTGTGATATATGTTATACGTTATGGAACATGGTTTTGATTTTAACTATTATTCTATGCTGATGAAAATGTATAGTTTAATTTAAAAAAGATATCGATAATTTTTAAAATGTAATTTTAATTTTTATATAATTCGATTTTTTTTACGACTTTTTCATTCATTATTTTATTATATATATAGAATATAGATCTTGACTTTATTTATTTTTATCCATAAATTATATAATTTTTTTTACAAAATTGATTGCACAAAATCAAAATTTATGAAATCGTATTTATTATCATAATGATCTATAATATAAAAATTATTAGTAAGATTCGTTAAAGTAAAATGTATACAATTATAATTGAAAATAGTATCTAGAAATATAAAATTTAAAAAAAATGTAACAAAATAATAATAAATTTATAAAAGAAAAAATAATTTTCTAGTTTTATAACGATCGAATATTTCCAAAATATTTTCCAGAATTTGGAAAAAAAAAATCATATTTAATGCCATAATTTCGAGAATTACTTGATAGCATATCAAAAAAATTTTAAAAAATTCATGTAGCAATAATCCAATAAAAATTTTATGAAATTTCGTTTTATGACTGAAAATCTGTTTTATGGTGTAAAGAACAAGTTAATGCGTGTTCGCTAACTAATAGATGGGTTAAGAATTATCGAGCAATTTACGCGAAAGATTTATATCGCGTATCGGATGGTAAATTACTTGGCTGGCATACTTATTGAAGGTCCATTGTTCCCATGAAACGCACGGTTCCGAGCTTTTCTCCATCCGTGAAGTCATGCCACCGTTGGAACGGTTGAATTCAATGCAACCGATTACAAGGGGGGTAGTAGTACCATTATTCTTCATTATTTGTTGCTTGCCATTACACATAACTGTTGCGTTCCGAGGGATAACTAATAATAATTAATTTCAATAATTTGTACCATAGCTTCGACAATTGTGCTTGTGCATCGAAAAATCTACATCCCCTTTCGTTTAATTAACCCATCTGTGTAATTGCTTCTTTTGTACATATTATAAAATTTATCAATTGACGACAATTGTTTATTATGTTAAAATTTGTTTATGGATATCGACGATTTATATTCCCGCCAATGTTTGTCATTGAAGATTTATATTACGAAATTTCTGATCAAGCTAATTATCTATATGAGGATATTATTAACTTTCGTCAATAAGAAGAATTCAATTAACAAATTTTAGAATTATTGATCACGAATGTGTAATATTTGCGTGTATGATTTTATATTATTTTTATATAAATAATTAATTCTTAAATATATTTATAACAATATTTTTTTTGTATAACTAATAGCATCTTACAAGTCACGAATTATAAATTTTCTTATATAAGATTTAAAAGATTTAATAAAAAAGAAAAATTAATTTTTGCAAAGAGCACTATTCATTTTTCTCTCTGCCCTCCTTAATGATTTATTCCCAATAATAAATCTATTTTTATACTGTATTTCTTTATAAATCTATTCATAAGAAATTTGAAAATTTTACAAAATATATCAATAGGAAATTTGAAAATTGCGATTATTGATGTTTTTCACAAATATATAATTTTTTATAAAAAAAATATATTCTTCAATCTTCTCTCACAATCATTCCTTGAGTTCTATGTAATAATAATATAAAAATTAATATATAATATAAATAAAATATTAATATAAATATATATAAAATATAATATATAATATATATTACTACTATAATAAAAAAATTAGTGTTAGAAAATCATAATATCAATAGAGTAACAAGAAATCAATACACTTTCAAAACCATCGATATAAATTTTCAAAAAAATTCATTAAGAGCAAAAATATAATTTTTAAATAACATTTTATAAAATTAAGATTTTACAATATTCAAATATATATCTATTTATCTTTTTACATTTTATTATCATGTTAAAAATTTATAAATCTATACGATTTCTCGACAAACTTTTTCCAAAGAATATTACAAAGAAATAAAGTTAAACTTTAAAATTATATTCATCTCGAGGCAAGCAAGTTGTCGATATTTCGCTACTTATATTGCACGAATTTTTTCTCAACATTTTCCTTTTAATCTTCCTTACGATTTATATTCTTTTCGTTAAATCATAGATTAAGTGTTCCGACATGTTCCTCAAGATTGAACGTGCCCGAGTCGTTCGTGAGGCAATGAAATCTTTTCCCCAGGATTTTTCGACCACGTTCTCAACCGAGCGTTATGCAAACTCGACCGAGCGCACTCCTGTTCGAAGGTTTTCCAAGGGACGATTTACTGGCGGTAATGGGACGCGAGAGGATCCAGAGGCTCGTTCATGTATCATTCATACGTCGTCGCCGGTTACTCGCTTCGGCTGCGCGCGAAGTCGCGCGTTCACGCACCTGACGTTGCACTTCTAGTTACTCTGCAAGAACGAACCGTGTGCTTCCTTCAACTCAAATAGTTTGAACGTTTATTTTACCTCGTCGCGTAATTTAAAAGGGATGAATCGATTTCGAATTATTCTTTCGATCGTCGATATATACGTTAAGAGGAAATAATATTTGCTAAGCACGTAATAATTAATTGAATGGAGCAATAATGTTCAATAAGATTTTTGTACGATATATGCATAATTTAGTGATAATGTTTTTATTGATTATTCTTATGTTCAAATATGACTCGATTTACTTTTTCTATATTCTATATTAAAGTAATGTTGAATTAATAATAAAGATAAAAAGTCTTAAAATCTTTATTTGTGAAATTATTTTAAATTAAGTGTTTATTTCTTTCATCATTATTGAATATTTTATATTTATAATTGGATGGTTTTATCATTTCAATAGAGTATATTTAGAGTATATGACAAAATAATTGCAAATATAAACCTATTCAATCATTTTTTAATCATCTAATATTAGTTCTTATATTTGAAAATATCTTAATAAATTTTTTAAAAATTTTTTATATTTATTAATAAAATTTATATGAAATTTAAAAGAAAAACTTAGAAATGTAATTGAATCAATACAATTTTTAATTTCACTTATTATTTCATAAGATAATCGCAATACCTATCATAAAATTAATTAGCATAAACTATTTTATATCCTTAATAGTGATTCAATTGAAGATTAAAATAATATAATATAAATTCAACTTTTGATTTTTGATTCAAATTCTCCATTCATACTCATTCATTATTAACTCCCATACATTATTTATAATTCATTACATGAAAATTTATAAAAACATAATTTCTAGAAATATTTAACAGTTTCATCGAAAACAATCTCATTATTTTTACCCTTCTCTTTCATTCTCCCCTAAAATATTCCACATATAATTGTATAAATTAAAAATTAAAATCAAAATATGAATCTAACTTTTAATTTTTAACTCAACCTACATTTATATTTACTCATTACTCAATCTTCAATATAATATTACAAAATACAATCCCCAATTCTTATCTCATCATTTTATCTATTATATTCTTTAAACTATCCTATCATCACCTAAATCCAATTATATCAATTCAAGATTGAAATAATAATATAAATTTCTTTAATTTAAATTTATCGATTTTCCATATAATCATAAAATCCATATTCCATAAAATCATAATTTACACAATTCATAAAACTACGTCCTCAAAAATATTTAATCTCATCGAGAAAAATCCTTTCCTCAAACCGTCCTATAAATTGTGCTCATTTCCACACGAAATATTTATAACAATATACAACTCGTTATATTAAAATTCGATTCAAAAATATAGTCCCCACAATTTCGCATCAAGAATAACCCTCGTAGTTACGCAAACACCACGTAGAGATAGAGGCGGATTTCATTAGCCCGTGACCCTTAATCGTCGCGGTCGATGATCAACGACCGATCGAGGCTCGTTTAGCCGGCGCAACGAACATTTCCGCCCCCGCGTCAAAGTTAGCAGCGCCGCTGTGGCCTAACCCCGATAATTTACGTCCAGCCCCGCCGGGGATTTAAATATGTCCGGGGGACCGAGATCCGTTTCCGTGCGCGCGCGCGCGCCAACTTCCCCGATAAGCCGATAGCCGCTTTAACTTTTCTTTAACCGGAAGATTGAATTTCGCTTCCACCCTCTACCCCCTCCCCTTGCTCGCTCCTTTATATCCGAACGGAAGTTTTCGGTTCGAGAGGGGTATAGGGGCCATTGTTACACTCGGTGAAATTTCCACGAAAATCAGCGTGGATCGCGGATTTACGTCATCCCGAAAGGGGGTGGAGGGTCAAAAGAAACTCTCCACCAGGTTGTGGACGTTGCAGAGAGTATCGACTGCAACGTTCATCGGGTTCGTTTGGATAAATCGAAGGAGTTGAGGGGGGGAATTAATTAATGGGTTGATACGGGTAGAGGGGAATGAAATTATTTATAAGCGGACAAAAATTTTCTTCCAATTTCCAGAAGGGAAGAGAAAAGGTTTAATCGACAAGGTTAAATCAGTATCGTCTGTGGGTGAACCGAAATTGGAAAACGGTTCGATTTAAATCAGAATATCTGCTGAATTTATAGCTCCATTTCATAAAAGTTTTATACTTTTTTATCAGAAATGTCGAGTTGTTGTCAAAAATGTGTGATTCGATTTAAAAAAATTAAGCTATCCTTCGTATGTCCTATATGTCTATCCACAAAAAAAATTATGTCAAAATTATTTTCTGAAACTATTCAACTTTTATTTCCAATATTTTTCGTCACCAATAGTTTAGCAGGATAATCTAGAGAAATCCACTTAAATTTATTTTTCATTAAATTACATATGCATAATATTTTGAATTATTAATATTTCAAATTTGAT